CTTGCTATCTCTTGTTTTTTGTTTCGATGGTGGCCATCCTAACAGGTGTGAGGTGACAAATCATCATGGTTTTGCTTTGCATTTCCCTGATGATTAGTTATGTTGAGAATCTTGAATGTATATTCTTTGGAGAAGAGCCTGTTCAACTCTTTTGCTCATTCTTAATTATGTGTTGCTTGTTAGTAAGTTGAAGAAGTGCTTTATATAATTTGGATCTTAACCCCTTCTCAGATGTGTGGTTTGCAAACATTCTCTGCCATTCAGTGGGTTTTATCTTCAGTCTCTTGATTATTTCTTTTGCTGTGCAGAAGCTTTTAAGTTTGATTTAGTGTTTTGATCTGTCTATTTTTGCTTGTGTTGTTTGTGCTTTTGGTGTCATAGTCAAAAATCACTGCCCAATATAATGTCATTTAGATATTCCCCTATATTTTCTGCTCAGAGTTTTATAGTTATAGGACTTATGTTTAAATAAGTTTTAAACCTAGTTATTTAAACCTAAATATGTTTAACCTAGTTTGAGTTTTTTGCATATAAATTAAGGATCAAACTTCATACTTTTGCATGTGGATATGCAGTTTTAACAACACTATTTGTTGAAGAGGCTATTCTCTACTCATTGTGTATTCCTGATATCTTTGTCAAAGATTAGCTGCCCCTGTATGCACGAGTTTATTTCTAGGCTTTTAATTATGTTTCATTGCTCAATACGTCTGTTTCTGTGCCAGTACCATACTGTTTTTAATGCTGTTGCTTTGTAATATGTTTTGAAATCAGGAAGTGTGAAGTCTCCAGCTTTGTTCTTTTTTCTCAATATTATTTTTTGCTATTTGGGGTCCTTGTGGTCTTATATAAATTTTAAAACTTGTTTCTATTTTTGTAAGAAATGTGACTGAGATTCTGAGAGTGATTGCATTGGATCTGTAGATCATTTGGGGTAGTATGTCCACTCTGACAGTATTAGCTCTTCCAGTCCATAAACATGGGATAGCTTTCCATTTATTTAAATTTCCTTTGTTTCATCAATGTTCTGTAATTTTAATGTTCACAACTTTCACCTTCTTGGTTAAGTTTATTGCTAAGTATTTTAGTCCTTTTGCTAAAGTTGTAAATGGGATTGTTTTATTAATTTTCCTTTCATTATTAATGTATAGAAATGCAATTGATTTTTGTATGTTGATTTCATATCCTGAGACTTTACTGAATTCATTTATTAGTTTTAACAGGTTTCTCTGTGACGTCTTTAGGATTTTTCTACATGTAAGATCCTGTGATCAGCAAACAGAAATAGCTTTATGTCTTCCTTTTCAGTTTGGATGACTTGAACTGTTTTCATTTTTTTGCTTGGATTTTCAGTACAATGTTCACTACAAGTGAGGAGAATGAGCAACTGTGCCCTGTTCTGAATCTTTCCGGAAACCTTTTTTAGTTTTTCACCATTGAGTATAATGTTAGCTCTAGTCTCTTCATATATAGCCTTTTAATATTGAGATAATTTTGTTCTATTTCTGGTTTGTTGAGAATTTTTTTCATACAAAAAGATGTTGAACTTTATCAGATATTTTTTCTGCATCTGTGAGATGATCATACAACTTTTGTCCTTTATTCTGTTAATATGATGTATCACATTAATTGATTTGTGTATAGTGAACCCAGGGATAAATCCCACTTCATCATGGTATATGATCATTTTAATGTGCTGTTGAAATTCAGTTTGCTAATATTTGTTGTGTATTTTTGTGTCTATGCTCAACAGGGATATGGGCTCATAGTTTTCTTTTCTTGTAGCATCTTTGGTTTTCAGGTCACTACAAAAGTTTTGAGACAGACTGCATTATGGTCCATTACTTAACTTCCAAGAAACATAGCTGACAGGGTCCTTTCTGATCTGCTCCATTATTTCACTTCCAAGAAACAAGGCTGACAATGTCCTTTCTGAGTCTGCTTGGTATCTTGGTGTTTCTGGGAGGGCTTCATTTGTTTCTTGATTTTTGTGTGTTTCAAAACTTTTGTAATGAGCCACATGTAAGGAAAATGATGACCTCAAAAAATGAGTTTAGAAGCGTGCTATCCTCTTCAATTCTTTGGAAGCAATTTAGAATGTACTGGTGTTAGTTCCTCTTTTAAATGTTTGGAAGAGTGCACCAATGAAGCTATCTAGTCCTGAGCTTTTTTGTTATTGTTGCTATTGCAAAGTTTTTGATTAAGAGTTCATTCTCCCAACTAGTTACAGGTCTGTTCATATTTTCTGTTTCTTTATAAGTCAATCTTATGAGTCGTAAAGTTTTAAGAATTTATCCATTCCTTCTAGTTTATCTGCATCTCAAAATGTTCTCCTGTAATAATTTTCCTTCTTGTCAGACTGCTTTAAAAAATACAGAATTATCTGGTGGTCAACTCTCATAGTTCTTATATCTCAGTAAATATCTATGTCTCATCTTCATTATTGCAAAATTTTCTTGATCATAAAATACTTTGTTAACGGTTATTTTTAACAGCAAAGGGCAATAACCTTAATAGTTTGACAATTATCCTGAGTGGCCAATTAGTTTTACACATAGATTTTACCAGTGTTGTCACTTGAATCTGCTGTAAAAGAAGAGCCACCAAACAAGGCCCTGAAGTCAGGTGATGGGATCTGGAGTCCAACCAGAACAACACTATGTAGAGTAGTGATTAAAATCTTCTTTTGTTCAATGATTACTCTATTGGAAAACGGGAATTGAATGCACACATATTTGAAAATTGGGAACACTTGTGAGGTAACCCTTATTCTCATAAAATACAAAGCAGGCAGGTACTATCTCAGCTGATTTAATTTCTAAAATTCTATCATACTGGACCTTGACTACCCTTAAACTAAGCTTTACTTTGATAGTAAAGCTGTAAAATGTATACTAAATAAACTCTGGGCTTTCTGTGCAGGGACGCCCATGACCGTTATCTCCTGAAAACTCTTTTCTTCACTTCATTTTCATGAAATTTCACTTTTGGTTTCCTTCCTGTTCTGTGGCCACCCCTTCCCAGGCATGTTGGATAGATCCCATTACTTACTCTCTAGTGCTGGAATGTTCCAGACCTCAGACCTGGGCTGCTCCTTCTCCATGTTCATTAACTTATTTGGTGATGTCATCTAAGCCCATAATTTTAGAAGTTTCCTAAATGCGAATGACTCTAAAATGTATCCTTCCAGCTTTTGTACCTCTCCTGAATCCCATGTGTCTGCTAACTTCAACACCATGATGTCTGATAGCAAGGGAAATTCAATACGGCCAAAAGAAAACAACTCACTCTGCGTTCCCTTGGCCCTGACCGCTCCTGCTCTGTTACTCTGCCTCTCAGTTAACTCTACCCTCATGTACCCAGTTGTTCAGCCAGAAGGAGGAAAGTCAGATCCCTTCCTTTCCTCTGGTTAATATATAATCCATTAGCAAATTCTGTCACTTCTACCCCCCAAACATATTCTGGTTCTGTCTACTCATTGACCTTCTACCAATTGCTACCACATAGTTCACTTTATTTCATGACTTCACAACTGGATGATTTTCCTACCCTCTTAGCAGGTCTTGTTTAAGTACAGTAGAACCTCTGTAAGTTGACCACCCATGGGACTGCAACAAACTGGTCAACATATGAAGGTGGACAGCCTAAGGAATGAGGCTACCATACTGAAATGTAAATGTGGTGCATGTCCAGTCTGTGAAACTTGTCAACGTAAGGAGGTGGTGGGCATAGGCAGGTGGTCAGCTATGGGGGTTCTACTGTAGTTTAAGTGAGATTTAGTAGAAGACTTATCTGTCCCATTTGGTACCATGTTCCTGACGGTGAGAGCAGCACTTCACACATACTATATGCTGTATAGATACTAGTTGAATGAATGAATAATAAATGCAATGTTTCATGCCAAAAGAACGTGTTCCATAGTTTTGCAAAATCTCATTTAACTAATTCACAAATACATTTATAAACTTTGTCAGGATATGCAACCTGAAGTTTTATACTCATAAAGATGTGAACAAAAGCAGTTCAGAACAGAGCTTTGTTCATTATTTTTATGGCTACTAAAGATACATTGTGTTTTGGCATCTTCAAGCATGGCATTGTGATCCTTCAAGACTCAGAGGAGATTTTCCTAGTCTAGTGCCAAACAATTCATACTCCAAGAAGTCTGAGAAGAAAGAAAGTTCTTTAGAGAATATTCTTCAAAAGTAGGTCCTTTATTCATCCAAGCGTTGAGAGAAGGCTACTGAAAGTTGCACAGTTAATAGAATCTCCTTCTTTTGAAGTCATTCCACCATTTCCAAAATCTTCTCCTCATGGCATTGTCATTTTATTCTTGCCTTTTAATAATCTCAAAACCAAATAACTTAATCTAAACCCATTGGAGAAACATAGTCTTATTGGGTGATAAATATGTGAGTTCCAGTCATGTGTGAAATGCAAGAAGAGAATTAGGTTTTAAAGGCAGAGAGTCATGGGCTCCAGCTTTAGCTCTGCTGGTTGGTGGGGCATGAATTTGGGAAGTGGCCTTCCCTCTCCTAAGCTCATTTTCCCTACCCAAGGAACAATGCCAGAAATGCTCCCTTGCAAGGTGCTTGTGTATGCAGCATAATCTAGCCAGGAGGTGCACTTACATAACGTGCAGACCCCATGCCTGGAGCTGGTTGATTCTTGACAGCTCATCTGGGTCTTCCCTCCAAGGTCTCTTTTGGTCACTGTCCCACAGCTACTACTGATTACTGTTACTAGTGCTGGTGGCAGAGCCTACCTCTTCCCAAGATCCAGATAACTTGGGGAAAAAGAGAAATAAAGGAGACCTGAGACAGCTGCGAAAAGCCTCACTCATAAAATTACATGCAGCTGCCTGAGGTGACTGCGGTCACAGGGGAGATGATCAATAAACATTTCAGAGTGAATTAATGAATGAAGATGGATGTTTCCTTCATCAGTTATCCACTAGACAAATCTGGCCATATCTCTCATTGTTCTGCTATCCTTTACAGGCAAGAAAGCCTTGGCCCTGCCAGATGGCACAAACAGGAGCGCCCTGGCCAGTGAGCACCTCGGAACCAAGAAGGGGTGAGGGCTGAGGGGGAGGAGTTTTGAGTTAGGGGCGAGCAGAGATTTGATTCTGAAGAGAAAATCTTTACTGGGTCAGGGCTGCTTTTGCATAATTCTATTATCTCCAGAAAAGGAGGGATAATCATATTAGGTGTGTGCCGCACTGCCCTATGGGGCCCATCTCACCTCACTGTTTGAAGTCATACAGGTTTAAGTGCTTTGTGTGAGTTGTTCTGAGCTGCCCCATCAATAAGGCATGTGCTGCCAGAGCAAAGCAGGGACGTTTTTTGATGTTGACAGCAACATTCATTCTTGTGCAGGAAGGAGTAATCCATTTGGTTACAGTTATAAAAAGAAAAAAGAGTTCTATGTGTTGGTTTGGGGAGCAGAGGTGGAGCCACCAGGAGTGCCATCTCCCAGAGAACCATCGGGAACGTCAGTGTGCTGGCAGGGTTTGTACCATCTGGCGAGTCCATAGCCCTTGCTGTTAAGTTCTGTGCACTGCACCTCCCAGGCCTGTGTGTAGAGAAAGGGCATTTGCACAAGCAGTTGCTCAGTGCTGCTGAGTTCACTGGCTCCGCTCCATCTTCTGTTTGCAGGCCGGCATCTTGTTAGTTTGCAGCGAGTCTCTACCCTGCGTTGTTCTTCTTTTGGAAGACCAATGCAGCCCCCAGCAAGGCCTACGTTCATCCAGAACCTTGCTGGCTCCTGGCAGAGCTTACCTGGACCCTCCCCTGCAGTAGACCAGAGGTGGCCAGGGAGACACTGGGGCTTCCGTCTCTCCAGACTGAAGCTCTTGTTCTCTTTCCTCAGACTGGGAACCTGTATGGTAGGGCCCAGGTGAACAAGGAGCCAGAAAGAAAGGTGTCGATCTTTCTAAAGACATACCCACTCTCTATCTCTGAACTGTGTTGTCTTTGTAACAAAATGCCCCCTTTCTAAAGCTCCGTTCCACCTCAGCCTCTATGAGTGATGCCAGGTGTGTACAAAACTCTATAGAGGAAAAAGTCATCTCGCCCAAAGTCACTTCTGTCTAAGGTTTAAGCAGAGCATAAACCTGGTGTCCGGTGTGCAGCCTGCGGGCACACGCTGGTCTTGTACAGGCTTCTGCTTCCTATCTTGGTGTCACACATCATGGAAAGGATGCCCAGACCTTTTCTATTGCTAAATTCAGTTTTCTGTAGTATATTTATTGTGTGGCCCAAGACAACTTTCTTCTTCCAATGTGTGTCAGAGAAAAAATATATATATTGGACATCCCTGTATGAAAAGCACAATAAAAACGAGAGGCAGGAATGCACAGAGCTTAAAAGAAGAGCTATGAAAATAGCTTATTTTTCCCTCCAAATTCTTTTCCATGCGCTTGCTGGGAGCCCTTAGTGACTCAGCCCCTCAGGACCTCGGTTTGTGTCATGTCATGCTCTTGTAAAGAGGAGGAGAGAAGATACTTGGGATACTCAGCATGGTTTGCACACCAAGTCAATTCTCTGAGATTGTTAATACTTTAAACAACGATCCTGGAGAAATCTCTGTACTGGGTTCTACAGATGCACAAAGAAGAGGGTGGTCGATTCTAATGATTAGTAAGAGGAGGGTAAAGAAACACTTCATGGGAGGGAGTGAGCCTTGAACGTACCAGCGGTGTGGTTTCCACTATTAGAATTGCATTTTAAAGCCATTGCTGTGCACTGATCTCGGTGGTATCTACTTTACATTGCCACCTTTATTTACAGGACAACCTTATCCCCATTTCACAGATGAACGTAAGTAGGCACAGTCTTAAAGCTGAGAATCCATGAATGAAAAAAAAAGAACATGTGTTTCCAGGCATACACAGTGGAATATTATTCAGCCACAAAAATGAAGGAAACCCTGCTATTTGCAACAAGGATGAACCTGGAGGGGATTATGCTAAATAAAATAAGGCAGGCAAAGAAAGACAAATACTTAACAATGTCACATATCTAGAATGTAAATACGTGGATCTTACAGAAGCAGAACAGTGGTCATTAGGAGCATTGGCTTGGGAGAAATGAGATGTCGGTCACAGGCACAGACTTTCAGTCATGAGATGAGCGAGTTCAGGGCATCTGAGGCACAGCATGGGCGGATGACGTGTCAGTTTATTCAAGGCTAACAATCATTACACGATGGATATGTTTATCAAATAATCACATGGCAAGCCTTAAATATATACAATCTTTCTTTGTCAGTTGAATGCTTTTTAAAATAATCTAGTTCAGAAAAAGAGCTAAGAGCTTCCAAATGTGCCCTTACAGGGAGAACACAGACATACCAGATACAAGGAAGGCAAAAGCAGACTTTATTAGCTGTCACCTCCCTGGAGCCGGCAAGAAGGGGAGTACTTAGCACTGATGGGGCGTTTGCTCTCTCCACTGTCAGGACAGTACTTAGCGCTGACGGGGTGTTTGCTCTCGCCACTGTCAGGACAGTACTTAGCGCTGAC